ACACACAGAACACTTACGCACAGTGCTTTTACACATGGCAAGCGTTTACACACACAGAAACTTTTACACAGAGACGCTTTTACACACAGAGAGGCTTTTACACACAGCAAGCTTTTACAGAAAAAGTTTTTGCACAGAGAAGCTTTCTTGTACATAATCAGAACAGGAATTGCAGCTCCAAAACTGGATCTCGACGCCAAAGCGACAAAAAGACGATTTTGAAGCACTTTTTAAAAGGAATTTTAAAAGGAAAATTATTAGCGCCAAAATTGAGAAAATCTGCTGACAAATCACTCTCGCAGCCTTGATGCAGCCATTCCAATACGATTTACGATCTTCAGCTGCAAAAGATAATAGTATTACGCATGCAGCCGCTGCACCAAGCAACCTTGACGCAGCCACTACAATGCGATCTGCAGAGACTGAGTTGCAAAACACAATAGAACTACGCGCAATGGCGTCGGAAATTGCAGCTCCAAAACCGGATCTCGACGCCAAAGCAGAAAAAAGACGATTTTGAAGCACTTTTTAAAAGGAATTTTAAAAGGAAAATTATTAGCGCCAAAATTGAGAAAATCTGCTGACAAATCACTGTCGCAGCCTTGATGCAGCCATTCCAATACGATTTACGATCTTCAGCTGCAAAAGACAATAGTATTACGCATGCAGCCGCTGCACCAAGCAACCTTGACGCAGCCACTACAATGCGATCTGCAGAGACTGAGTTGCAAAGCACAATAGAATTACGTGCAATGGCGTCGGAAATTGCAGCTCCAAAACTGGATCTCGACGCCAAAGCGACAAAAAGACGATTTTGAAGCACTTTTTAAAAGGAATTTTAAAAGGAAAATTATTAGCGCCAAAATTGAGAAAATCTGCTGACAAATCACTTTCGCAGCCTTGATGCAGCCATTCCAATACGATTTACGATCTTCAGCTGCAAAAGACAAATAGTATTACGCATGCAGCCGTGGCACCAAGCAACCTTGACGCAGCCACTACAATGCGATCTGTAGAGACTGAGTTGCAAAACACAATAGAACTACGTGCAATGGCGTCGGAAATTGCAGCTCCAAAACCGGATCTCGACACCAAAGCGACAAAAAGACGATTTTGAAGCACTTTTTAAAAGGAATTTTAAAAGGAAAATTGTTAGCGCCAAAAGTGAGAAAATCTGCTGACAAATCACTTTCGCAGCCTTGATGCAGCCACTTTACACGGAAAAACACAAGGTTTCGTGCTCCGGCTTCCTCCCCAAAACATAGCCCATGCAACATTCATGCAGCCATTCCAATGCGATCTGCCACCACAGCTTCAAGAACCGCATAGAACTACGCACACAGACACAACCACTCGTTGCAAAACACATAGGAGGAACAATTCGCGCACAAAACGCCCGCAGCCGCAACCGCCGCACAGACGAGGTACCTTTCATCGCCGGCTGCAGCCACTTTACACGGAAAAACACATGGTTTCGTGCTCCGGCTTCCTCCCCACAACACACGGCATGCAACATCATGCAGCCATTCCAATGCGATCTGGCACCACAGCTTCAAGAAACGCATAGAACTACGCACACAGGAACAACCACTCGTTGCAAAACACATAGGAGGAACAATTCGCGACAGAAACGACCGCAGCCGCAACCGCCGCACAGACGAGGTACCTTTCATCGCCGGCTGCAGCCACTTTACACGGAAAAACACAAGGTTTCGTGCTCCGGCTTCCTCCCCACAACATAGCCCATGCAACATTCATGCAGCCATTCCAATGCGATCTGCCACCACAGCTTCAAGAAACGCATAGAACTACGCACGCAGACACAACCACTCGTTGCAAAACACATAGGAGGAACAATTCGCGCATGAAACGACCCCAGCCGCACCCGCCGCACAGACGAGGTACCTTTCATCGCCGGCTGCAGCCACTTTACACGGAAAAACACAAGGTTTCGTGCTCCGGCTTCCTCCCCAAAACATACCCCATGCAACATTCATGCAGCCATTCCAATGCGATCATGCAACCAGAGATTCAAGAACCGCATAGAACTACGCACACAGGAACAACCACTCGTTGCAAAACACATAGGAGGAACAATTCGCGAAAGAAACGACCGCAGCCGCAACCGCCGCACAGACGAGGTACCTTTCATCGCCGGCTGCAGCCACTTTACACGGAAAAACACAAGGTTTCGTGCTCCGGCTTCCTCCCCAACACAAAGCCCATGCAACATCATGCAGCCATTCCAATGCGATCTGGCACCACAACGTCAAGAAACGCATAGAACATCATAGAACTACGCACACAGGAGCAAGCATTGTTGCAAGACACATAGAAGGAACCAAACGACCGCAGCCGCAACCGCCGCACAGACGAGGTACCTTTCATCGCCGGCTGCAGCCACTTTACACGGAAAAACACAAGGTTTCGTGCTCCGGCTTCCTCCCCAAACATAGCCCATGCAACATCATGCAGCCATTCCAATGCGATCTGGCACCACAGCTTCAAGAAACGCATAGAACTACGCACACAGACACAACCACTCGTTGCAAAACACATAGGAGGAACAATTCGCGACAGAAACGACCGCAGCCGCACCCGCCGCACAGACGAGGTACCTTTCATCGCCGGCTGCAGCCACTTTACACGGAAAAACACAAGGTTTCGTGCTCCGGCTTCCTCCCCACAACATAGCCCATGCAACATTCATGCAGCCATTCCAATGCGATCTGCAAGTACGGATTCCAAAACACCCTATAACTACGCACACACAAGCACACCCAAAGCAACTTGAAGCCACCGTTACAATGCGGCAAAAAAAAAGGCAAACCGACCGCAGCCGCACCCGCCGCACAGACAAGGTACCTTTCATCGCCGGCTGCAGCCACTTTACACGGAAAAACACAAGGTTTCGTGCTCCGGCTTCCTCCCCAACTCACCACTTCCCTTCCTCACCGCTTCCCATCGTCACCACTTCCCATCGTCACCACCTCCCATCGTCACCACTTCCCTTCCTCACTACTTCCCTTCCTCACCACTTCCCATCGTCCCCACCTCCCTTCCTCACCATTCCCCTTCATCATCACTTCCCTTCGTCACCACTTCCCATCGTCACCACTTCCCTTCGTCACCACTTCCCTTCGTCACCACTTCCCTTCGTCACCACCCGTCATTATCACCACCCTTCATCAAAGTCAATTCCACTGCTTCTTATTCTTTTGTTATGTATTGTTATGTTATGTATTGTTATGTGATCTACCATCCTGCATCATTTCAAGTCGCAGAATTCTATTTGTCCGTAACACGGAAGTATTGCTTCCCAACTTCCTTTGATAATGTGCAAATGTATGATGATATGTATATGATATGTATATTTATATAATGTAATATATATATATATATATATGTATATAGGTGTTTATGCCTATATAAGCTCGTGCTCAAAATGCTCGTGTCATCCCTCGAGTTTATTTTTTGAGGTTGGATACTCTCCGGTAATTCACGGTGGTAATGGAAAATCCCACCATTTATTGCTGATTTTTGCATTGAACACTTCCATTTTGTTCGGGGATTTCCCGGCTAGCCGTGTTGAATAAAACACCGGAGGGTGTCTCAGTCATCCCCTCTGGTCCTGAAATCCCTCGTCGACGGTTGAGGGTTCGCCGAATGCTCCACTGCGGTGCCACAGCCGCCACAGCTCCACAGCATGCGAAGGTCCAGAATTTCATGGCGCAGCAAGGGTGTCCTCCGACGCACGCGCAAAGGTCCGGAATCCTCGCATTCGCATGCCCAGTTGGGATGGGTTTGTCCTTCACGGTGGAAACCTTTGCCAAGTCGACACACTGGATTCAACCAGGTGAGGCAAGCGAGATCGCGAAGTTGACTTTTCACTTGTTTCACCTTTGGGTTTATGGGAGATATATGGAGATATAAGTGTATAGTTAATGGGTTTAGAAACACATTAAAGTTGGTAATGAAAGTGCAAAAGTGTAAAATAAAACCAAGAACCATGTTAGTACCAGGACAATCCCTGAAGTTAGCATCCATGGCTAGAATCTGAATTTGCCACGTTTCATCCTGTTCATCCTCTGTCATCCCTGTATGCTGGTTGGTTAAGAACGGATTTCCCATCGATAATCCCCGACTGGATAGTATAAGCCCATATAATCACCAAGCAATTATCATCTATCTTTCTTGTTTATAATGTGTTTTCCCTATTACTAAAACTCTCCCATTAAAGAAAAATCGGGTTGGATTGGCACTTTTTGGTTGCTTACAATTGCGTCCTTAACTGTGGTAATTCAGAATCAATACGAGAACAGGATGGTGAAATAGTGGTTTTTACCTCCCATTAATAAAAATAGAATCACACCTGGTGTTTTATTATTAGGGTCCCATTTCGAAATAGAAAAGTTTAGGTTCAGTTACTTTAGATTAGGGTTCTTAATTTCATCTTAGGGGAACCTTCGAAATCACTTTTTTGGCAATATTTTAATTAGATTTTAAACCGGAATTTAATGGTGTTTTCATTAACAGGGTGTTTACTTTAATATTAAGGGAACCTTCGAAATCCAATTTTTGGTAATATCTTAATTAGATTCTAAAGAGGAATTTAATCGATATTGAAATAGAAAACGACAGTTTTTTCAATAGGGCGTTTACTTTAATAGAACCTTCGATTTGTTTAGCCATATTTTAATCAGATCTTTAAAAGGAACTTTCTTGTTGAGTTTTTGTTGTTAATTGATGAGGACCCTGTTCATGTTCCATCAACCCTCACAGCATGCACGTGACACTCACTCCTTTTTCAGACTTGAGCCATGAAGGCCCGCAAAAGTACACTTCTGATTTGTGCGTGTCGCTTTCCATCTTTCACACTTCTCGATTTGTGCTCTCTCCATGCGTTCCATTCTTGAGTCATGCTAATCTTCTCCGTATTGTTCCTGGCCTCACATGTCACAAAAAACACAAGCAAGACAGCAACACTCCTCCTCAGGAGCTATACGGAGGATTGGACACACCCAACGCCGCCCTTGCAAGCTCAAGAGCGTTTCTCCCAAGAACTTTGGTCAAAGCATCTGCCAAAATCAGCCTTCCAGATCGATATTTCAAATCTATGCTGTGCTCTGTCAATTGGTCTCGAAGGGCAGCTGCGCGAATGCAAAAATGGCGATTTCTCCATGTGGTTACTGTGTGCAAAATGTTTGCGATGCAACCTGTGTTGTCCGACAAAAGTTCAACCCTTAAGGTGCTCTTGCCTATGAGAGATTTCATCAAGTTCAAGATTGCAATCGCTGTCACACAACCCAAACCTGCTGCCTGGATTTCATCCTCAACTGCGCTTTGAGCAGCTAGGCTTTGCCTGGTAGAGGACCATTGGATTAAACATCCATTGAGCATTGCAACTACGCCAGACCGACTCTTACTTCCACCTGGCGCAAAACTGGCATCTGCACTGACACTAAGTTCAAAGGCATCCGCTTGAACTGCTTGACCTTGAAACACAATCCTATGCTCAACCGTGCCTGCAAGGTATCTCCAAACTTGATGACACCATTCCAACACCTTCTTTGGATGAGTCACAAGCAACGACCCCAATGCACCTACACACGCCGCAATGTCAGGCCGGCTTCTTTGCGAAGCCCAAAGCAGTGCACCGATTTCCTGCTGCCCTTTGCGGATCAGCACTCTGTACTCTTCAGAGTCACGGTTTGCAAACTCAGGCTGCATACCTTCCTGCACGGCTGGAAGTGACAAGCTGCCTCGAACTTCTCCAAACCCACGCTCCTTCAAGCAACTACGGATGTAGGGACATTGGTGGCATTCCAGATTGCCAGCTGCATTGAAACCAAGCCTCATTCCCAAAAATCCCAGCTCACTCTGAACATTGAGGGACATCTTTGCCTCATCCGTGTGGGACTTGTCGGCAGGGTTGAGGAGAGTTCCTTGATCCTTAACCTTCCAGATCAACTTCACTGCGTTCCTAATCGCAACAAGGTTCGCAGCATGTGCGGCAAGCAGAATGTCATCAACGTAGAACAGGGCATAGCCTACAATCCCCCCCGAGTCACAAACCAACACCCAAGCATGTTCTTGCGAGTCTGCTGGCTGAAAAACACAAGCTTTTCCATCAGGGAGCTGCACTTCAACACCTCGGACCGTGTCATTTCTAGTCTTGGTCCAACATTTTGGAGATACACGCAAGCCATACAAAGCCTTTCTCAAGACCCATAGTTCAGTTTGGCCTGCAAGGCCGAGCCGTTTCAACAGTCCTGGCGGTGACACTGTCACTGGCGGCTCATCTTTTGGCAAGGAAGCATAGAGAAATGCTGCGTTCACATCAAGAACTGTGAGGCAAAACGTTTTCAGCACTACCATTGCTAAAATACACCGAGTGAAAAAAGCGTCTGGTACTTCGGCGCGATTTGTCATTTCTTTCTGGGCATTCTGTTGCATGTTTCCGCAAACAACAATTCGCGCCTTGTGGTTGTAGGGATTGTCAAAATCTGTGGCATCAGGTTGTGGTTTCTTGACCAACACAAGCTTTGTGGGGAGAGGCCTTGCCAACCTGGGATTGCTGGCCTTCCAAACATCATACTCCTCCTGAGTGATGCGGTCAAATACAGCCATGGCTTCCAAGTTTGACATTTCTTTATCTATACCCGCCAACCACTTCAATTTCTCAGGCTCGGAAGCATGTTCAACTTCTTTCGGGTCAACAGGCACGTTAACCAGCTCATGAGTTTCAAGGTTGGCGGCCGCACTTTCCAGTCTATGCATTTCGGTTTCTGCTGCTGGGTCTGGAAGCCAATATTTTGGAGATGCTGTAGTGATTGCTGCTTCTGCCTGCGCGGAAGCAACTGCGGCTGATGCAAGTGGCTCTGGCAAGGAAGTGGCGAGGATACCAAACAGCGTGACACCGCGCCACTTTCTACTGTCTGGCAAGAGATGCCTTCCAGGATTGCCTTCAGTCCACCTGTCAATCACAACGCTCTTCTTGTCTCCTTCAGCCAAAACCACGGTAACCCTGTCTGCACATAAACTGGTGGCAGGGGATCTGCAGACTTCATCATCAATTGGCTCAAACATGTTCACACGGGGTGTCAAATGCCTGCGGATCAAAACAGAACCTACGGTGACCCAAGCATCTGGGCTGTGGCAAGCTTCCCGAACAAGATTGGCCTGATGAGCTGCAAGTTCCAACCAAGAGTATTCAACATTCCTGACAGCATTTGTGTCTGCTATTTCCTCTGGGGCTTCGTACGAATGCATGTACAAACTGTAGTACTGCTGTGCTGAGAGGCCTGGGATGCCTCGCCGGACAAACTCTGCAACATCAGTTGGGCCCGGCGCTGGCCTACGTTCTTCGAAGGCCAAAATGGCACTGGAGTGAGGACTAGACCAAACAACATCTCCTACACTTGAGACCCAAACAGCTTTGTCTGCCTGGGTTGGGTGTGTGTGCATGCGCCATCGCTTCAGGTCTGCTGATTTCCACTTCTTTGGACCTGACACACGCGTGAGACTTGTTGTGACCCCATCTCGCACTGCAACAATGGCACCTTCAGGGATGGTTTCGTCGATGCCAATGAACACTCCATATTTGACTTTCGGCACGAAATCACCTCCCTCGCGAACAGCTTGTTCTTTGGCAGGCACAATCACGCAGTCGCCAGGAACAGGCAGCTTTGATGGGACTGTTCTGGCCAAAGCACTCTGTCTAAGGAGAAAGCAGGCGTGGGGCAAGACGTGCGCCCACATGGTCACCGGGAGCTTTCCCTCTTGCAGAAGAGCTACGGTTTTTTGCTTTACAATCCCAACGTACCTTTCAGCACGTCCATTTTGCGCTTTGTCCCCTGGCTGAGACGTTGTTTGAAAAACACCAATTTCCTGCATGGCTGATCGAAACAAATTTGACACAAACTCTCCACCGCAGTCGCTGTGCACTTGGGCAATGGGAAGTTTGCCGCCAAACAAAGAACGCAAGATCCCGAGGACATGCCGGGTGGCAGTGAGGACGATTGCAGACGTCTTGTCGAGCACTGGGACCCCATAAACAAGATTCAACCCATTGTCAAGAGTTGCAACTGCAATAAGGGCATACTGAGCATGCGTTTCAAAAGCCCTCGGATGTGGTCCTGTCAGGTCCAAACTCAACACGGCTGTGCTTCTAGCATTTACTGGTACTTTCCTGTGAATGCGTCTGAGGCCAAGAGCTTCCTGACATGCTTCACAATCAGGACGACTTGGCACATGGCCACACCTGGCATGTTCATCTTTGGCATCAGCATCTAAACTCAAGGGGCCAAAGCAAACTGTGGCTCCAATGTCATCTGGTTCGGAATTTCCAATGTGCTCTACTACACCTTTGCCAAAAACGGCTGCAACTGCAGATTGACGCATGTCAGGCGCCGGCTGATACTCTTGGTCTTGCAGCACATCTGAGGATCGGGACTGAAGATTGCTGGGAATGCCAGCGCACCAGGGATCAACCTGACATGGTGCCTCCCCGCCCAAACACCCCTGTACTGTGGCCTCGTATCGCCGATGCGACATTGGAAGCTTGAATCCAAACGAAGACAAACTACTGCCCATCTCATGCGTGACAAACTTTCCAGTTCCTGCAGTGTACACACTAACAGAAATTCTTGTGCCGAGAAATTTCTCAACAGAATGGACCAAATGCTTTGCGTTGAGCTTCAACCAATGGCCTTTAGTGGGGTACAGGGTGCCCATCAACATTTTATCTTGGTGGCGAACTTCTGTTTGACCAGCTGGATCTTCTACCCATAGTTTCCCCCCTTCAAAGTCACCAAAAGCCCTCAAGTAAGACACCCCTTGGTTTCTCGAATCTCTGTGAGGCGCTACCTGAGCATTCTTTGACATTTGGATGGATGTCCAAACTGCATCGTGAGGCAACTGCTGGGCTAGTATTGCGTTGATCAGCTTCACTGTGTGTGGGATGCGATGCGTCCACGTTGTGACACCGCTGAAAGAGCCGTGCTGATACAAACCAATGACAACCGAGTTCGTCTTTCCTTGGCTTGCTTCATTGGCCTGACGTGGCGCAAATCGGTCTGCATAGGGTAGCTGTGAAACAAGTGCTTCAAGAACACCAGGCAAATCTTTCTCAGCTAGGACATGGAATTCAGACAAATAAGCCTTTGCGACTTCTTCAAGGGCATGTGCTTGAATTTCTCTGATCCTAGCTGAGGCCGTAATGGCTTCTGGCTCCAAACACAGCATCCTACTGCACCACACGTCTCCTTCTTCTGCAGCATCAACTTCGTCCGCTCGGGTGAGCGTGGACCACACTGCTTCCTCATCTTCTTCAGCCGACCCCGCATTCAAACTTCCACATTTTTGCGCTACTGCACCTCTCTGGAAGCTTTTTGCCAACTGCTTGCGAATACCCTTGAAATCTTTCCATTTCAAATAAGGCAAATCATGTCTCATGACGCAGGTGACTTTGTTTCCAGACGGTGCTACAAGCTCTACTGCAGCCGGCTTCCAAACAACCTGATATCCAAGCTCTTGCACGAGGCGACTGACGGGCAAAATCCAAGGAGTTTTGGCATGGGGCTGACTGAACTTTCTTGGCAAAACAACTTCGCCCTGGCATGTTTTCCACCCTTGGCGCATTTCTCCACTGGCAAGGGTCACATTTAGAGGCGTTGCTTGGCCGAGCTCTTTTTCCACCTCCTGGTCCCAGGGTCGCAAAACTTGATTTGCTCCAGAATCAACCAGAACCCATGGCAAGGGGTCTTTCACCATCGCAGCATCTACGGACTGCAACCTTGCTTCTAGATCGCTCTGAACGTGCAACATGGACGCGAGGATTTCCACACTTGGCGTCGGCGCCTTTGCTTCAGCAGCTTTTGCTTGGACCTTTGGTTTGGCCTTGCCTTTTCCTTCACCTTTCCCTTTGCCATCACCCTTTGAACCATCTCTACCTTTAGGAGATCCCTTTTGCTTTGGCTGGGCCTTGCTGGGTGTCTTAGGTTCTGCTTTACTGGGCTTGTCTGGCTTGACATGCTCATACGGGCATGGGTTACGCGAGCAACCTCCGGGTTTGGCGAAGAAATGGCAAGGCTTTCTTTTGGGAGATTCACGCACAGCATTGATACCTATACCTTGGGCACTTGAACGTGTGCGCTCATCCTGTTCTAACATCATCAACTCCTGTTCAACCTGCTGCTCGAAAACTAGAACGCCTTGCTCGGTCGGCTGGCGAACTTCAGAGGCAAGGCGGGCAGCCTGAAGTGCAAACCTGAGCGACTCATGCTTCCGTTCCATACTGGCAACGATCTCTTCCAAGGCCATTAGAAGTTCAGTGGGAGGAGGCTGGGAAAGACCAAGGCGAGTGAGCCTGTGCTTTGCACTTCTCCACAATCGGAGCCTCGCTCTGCAGTCTGCAGCTGACACGAAAGCACCACCAGGGCGTCGAACAAACTCAAGCAACGACCTGCGGTCTTCCTTGCCTCCGGGCGCGCACCATTCCAGTGCTTGGTGAACCAGTTCCAGGCTTGTCGGCGCCCGGCTTGGATGAGCTTCTAGCATTGGCCGTTTGATTTCCTCAGGCAGCGCAGCCATTAACGCAACCAACAACTTTCCTTCCAACTGTTCACTTCCTTGTGGCAAAGTCGAGAGGCCTAGCGAGCCATCTGCTGCAACAGTGACACGCTCGGCAATGCTCAAGCTTTGATTTCTGCTGTAGACATCGCGAGCTTTTGCAAGCACAAACCTCCAGTGCGACTCCATACCCTTTCCTACGGCAGAAGCGGTGATGGACATCTGCTGAAACCAGAGATCTAACGCCATGCACTTCTCCCATGTTCTGTCACCTGTCAAGCTCAGCGCAGGACTTTGTTTCATGTACTTATAGTCCCCAAGGCCAACATTTCCTTCAGAAACTGCCATTGATGCAACTGCATGTGCTTGGGCGTTGGGCAACCCTGGCGGGCACTGCCAACCTTGAGACTGACCTAGGCTGGACTCGGACACTGACTCTGGCACGCCACCCATTCCGCCAAGAGCGGCACTACCACCATGACCAACATCACTAGCACCAACATGAGACCATGAAGCTGTTGCAACTGAAACACTTGGCTCCTTTGCTTGAGGAACTGCTGGAATGGGTGCAGCTGCAGCTGCTGGGAGAGGACCGGCAGAGCTTGACGACTTTGCCGGGGGCGCACGTGGCTCTATCCTTGCGAAAGGCAACGGCGGCACTTCAGGAAGGTTCTGCACGGTGCGGTCAGAAGGCTGGTTGGCCTGTGGAAGACTACATGAGATGACTTCTGGGCTCATTACAAAATGCTCTGGCCTACGGTTTCTCGGGGTCATGCAAGCAGGGTCGGGCAAATCATGCTCTAGAGCATTTCGGGCAACATCACACTGAGCAGCGACCAACTCATCAAGCTGATTTGCAACATGGTTCATCATGTCTTGAAGGGCCTCAACCCGAACATGCAAGACGCTTGTGTCATCACTGGCACGAACATGCTGCGCAACAACGTCATGCAACGCATCACATCGAAACTTCAGGGACTCAACTTGCTGGCACTCTTGTTGAACATGACTAAGCACTGACCGTTGGTTGGACACCTCTATTTCTAAGGCGTTCAGTCTTGCGACAACATCTCTACACAAGTTTTCCAACACTGTCACCCTACCTGTCAAGTCAATCATGTGTTTCTCTTGCGCAGCTAAGTCGGCCTGAAGCTGCTCACGCACCTGATCGCACAAACTACGAGGAATCTGCTGAACTGCTTCACCAAGGACCTGGGTCCTTCTGAACAACTCCTGGATCAGAATTGCTGCATCTTGCTGGCTTTGCGCCGTCTGATTTGCCCATGCATTCATCTGATTGAGAAGTTCTGGTTCAATCGTCAGCTCTTGCATCAACATAGATCTCACATGAACAGGTCCAGATGCGGAGTCGCCAGGGCCCAACGCTCTTGCAGCGTTGGGCTCATAACCTGTTAATTGATGAGGACCCTGTTCATGTTCCATCAACCCTCACAGCATGCACGTGACACTCACTCCTTTTTCAGACTTGAGCCATGAAGGCCCGCAAAAGTACACTTCTGATTTGTGCGTGTCGCTTTCCATCTTTCACACTTCTCGATTTGTGCTCTCTCCATGCGTTCCATTCTTGAGTCATGCTAATCTTCTCCGTATTGTTCCTGGCCTCACATGTCACAAAAAACACAAGCAAGACAGCAACAGGAAGGACCTTTTCCCATGGAGAGTTTCTGTGGGTTGTCCCTCAAATCAAGTCTAGGAGTGTTGAATCATATTTTGATATATTTTGCCTTTGGTTTTTGGAAATTAGGCCTTTTCAAAGCCAGCTATTGGCAATCCACTTTCAACCTCTAAAAACTGAATTTCAAGGCATCCAAACCTTAGACTTGTCCAAGTCCCAGTTGCTGTTCGCTTTCCTGCAGCTTTTCCTCCTCCAGATGGGTCTTTGCATCTGGGAGCTCCGGAGCTCGTTTCAGGAACTTCGCGGTTTCCGTCCTCCGACGGTCGCAGCGTCGCAAAGCCTGTTCAGACTGGGCCACCTGGTCTTCCATCCGTCGAAGCTCCTGGTACGCGATATGCAATGGATTGATTTTAGGGATTTTTAAGCAGGACATCCATGGTTTGATCATCAAATGTAAGAGCTGCCTGTTAGCCTGTTAGTAAGAAAAGTGCCTTCATTCAATTCTGGGATAGTTTACAGCTGCGAGGGTTCTTGATGATGGCATTGGCCAAAGTCCCCCAAACAATGGTGGATCAGTTGATCAATGGAGATCTCGTATACTGATGTATATTGTGGTGATCAATCTCCTGTTTACTTGAATTTGCATAGAACACCCGCAAGATGATGATTATGTTTGGAGTTTTGAAGACTGCTCATGCAGCATGCTATGTCTTGCAGCCGCCGGTTGGATCCCAGGCAATGCAAGGGATGCTGTCGCTGCAAAACTGAACACATTTCCTCTTTCCTCCAACTATAGCCTCCTCGACCATAGCATGTGCAAAATGCCTGTTGAGAGGAAAAAACTTCAGATTTCATCTTTCTCAGCAATGTGTGAAATCCAACTTGGCTCAATGTACAGTATAACATCATTGACAACAAATCTTGGCAGAAGTCTGCAAACAAATCATCGGTGGTATCCTCTCGCTCTTGCTGCACTTCTGCCTCTCAGCATTCAAGAGGGGTTTAGCTGCTTTTGCAATCAGTTCGTCTTACCTGTTGCCCATTGCTTCACCTCTACGCAAGAAAGAATACGCTTTCCACAAGAGATGCTGCACAATCAAAACTCCACTCAATTCAATCAAACAGTGGCCTGGGTTGGACATGACAGTGACTCACTATCAGTTTACCTAGAGCCAGCCCAGGTTTTAGTGGCCAACTTTGGTGTTTCATCATGTTGACCCAGGAACCATCATTAAAATCCCATTCATATTCCATTCAATGAGTAGTGCACCAACTTTCTCAGGCCCCAATTGGTACATCCACCGAATCCACCGCGCCTCCATCTGCGCTTCAACGACATGCGCCTCGCACTTGGCACTGAGGCGACACTCCCGCACTTGGCGTTCCCCAAAGAGGGCCACTTGCGCCTCAAGCTCCTCGACCTCCTGGATCATGGCTGATTCTTTGTAGTTGGATCTAAAGCCACCAAAAATACAGCAAAATGATGTATTTACTGTGTATATATATATATGTATATGTATAATAAATAAATATTTATATATAGAGAGAGGTGTATATATATATATATACATATGTGTGTATATGTATAATAAATATATATATATAGATATATATATATATAGATACAAATACAGTAGATCATGGATCCATTATGATTATATAATGGGTCTATGGATCTATGGAACTATGATGATTATGATGGATCAGCGGTTTGAAAAGGGAATCTCGGCACCAACGACTGCAAGCGATGTAGGCACATCACAGTAAGCATTGGGGATATAATTTAATATAATTTACGATATGAATTGTTCAACAACCATCACAAGAAGGATGACTGGAATCCCCAAACTGGGACATATACATCATATACCAAGCCTGTGCTTTGGTCTGCTGAAGGCTTAAGGTCTGCTGAGCAGCCGGTTTCTGTCCTGATGGAGTATCTTCAGCTCGCTGGCCTCGCTGGCCTCGCTGGCACCAGGCTTAGCAGCTAAAGCCTGCTGGCCCCAGGCCAAAAGAGCCTTGGATGTGTCATGGCAATAGCTTCACTGATGCATGGTGAACGCATCAAGTGCCATGTGCATCAAATAGTATATGTATATATATATATACATATATATATATATATTATGCACATACAACATCATTCTATAGCTACAGAATCCACTGTACAAAAACACTTTGACTAAGCAGCCTCCAGGACTTTTTACCTAGACCTTCTTTGCTGGATCTGGTGGGAACCTTCACTAAAACTGAAAACTGCTGGGTGGTCTTAACCCATATTGGGGATCATCCCAAGTAGGGTCAACCATCTAAAATAAGCGATGTTTGGTACCAGCCAACGTATTGATGATATGATATACATTGATATACCATTCATATTGCTATATTGCTCCATTTTCCTACATGTACATGTATTTACCTATTACCTGTACCATCAACCTTCAGAATTCCAATGTTGTCATCCCAAGAAACCTCCGTCGCCTCCTCGACTTCATCCATTCACCGTTCACAGCCGGTGACAGCATGGCGTCGGCGTTTCAATCGCTGGCATAGCAACAGCAGCGCCAAGGTTTGCCAAAGAGAAGTGGAAATCTGGGTCAATAAGCTGGGGCAGCCACCAAATTGCTATGGAATGTTATAGATCATCTTGGGATGTTTGAGGAGATTGGAATTCTTCATGAGATCGGAATGGTCAACAATAAGGATGGCAAACATCTGCACGCGGTTGTTTCATCCCGCTTGAGCGGCAACGACATCTGTGTAGTGGGTGTTTATACATCTGGATTCAAAACTACGACAAGTGGGAAGAACATATCTGAAACGCAAACTGCTATCACTGGTTGTAGGGTCCAGTATCTAACTTGAGCGCAGATTTCAACTTGCTCTTTCCTTTGCACATTCGGTGTGTTTGTGTTCCTTTCTGTCTTCTTTAATTGGTTCACTCAATTATTCACTCCCTGAATCATCCCAAATCCCTTCACTCGAGTTTTGGCATCTGCTCTATATCCGAGTGCGAGCATCTGTGAGCTCAAAGTTCGCCCTTCCTCGTTCCTTACAGTGACACTGGTGCTTTTGCCCTCACACCGCGCTGCTCCTTTTTTTCGCCACAAAAACATCCGACCTTCTGGCTGAACCTTCTTGCTGAACAGAAAGCAGAAGGGAAAGTGTCTTGGTATGCGCTATTTGCATCTATTTGCAGGGGATAACTGGGATAGCTGCACCTTATATGCTCTCGCACCTGCGCACATTCCATGGAAATCCTACATTGCTCTGTCTAAACTTCCTTGAAACATGCTCTAATAAAACTCACGGATCCATGGGGATCAAGTTCATCATCTGGATGACATCAAGTTGCAATGTGTCAAACAGGTTCTACATGGTTCTACCTGTTCCAACCATTTTGTCTGTCACGGAGTTCGCACTCCAAAGTCACCGGCTGAAAACAGCTCGCAAGCGAAGCCACAGCTGTAACATGTAGCTCTTGGGACTTGGAACCCAATGGGTGATACTAGCATTCATGCAAATACCAAAAAAAAACTGAAAAAATGTTGCCATAAGTCAAAGTACGGAAATAAAAAAACAACGCACCAAAAACATCCAAAAACTTCTGCCATCTCCATATGAGCGTCACAACGTCACAATCTGCTGGCTTCGGTCTCAAGTCCTGGTCTGAGTCAATAGCTGCCTCAAAGCCGGACTGGAAAGCCCTTGCTGAGTGGCAAGGCATGTTTTGCTCTAGTTTGCTTTGAACACTTTGAACAAGCACATACAAAATCATACAAATCTTACAAGTGGCATGAAAATTATGAAATTTCTATGGATTGAAAGATCACCAACCATCAACTCCGTTTGAACAAAAACTGAGGTGCACCCGCCGAAATACGTTGGTTCCTTTATGCTGGACTCTGAGGCACCTGCTGACCTCACTCTTTGCCGGCCCACATCACAGCTGCCTAGCACAATCATGCAAGGACTGGATCGATTCGATGATGCGGGTCTGTATGATCTGTAGATCAATTTCAGAGAAAATCTGAACGGATTGTTTGCGTCTCTTGATATGTTATAATCCACACCACCTAACAGACACGCATCTGACGACTTGCAGTTTGAATGACAGCGCTGGAGAAAGATAGAGCTGGCAAAAGACACGAGCGCCTCCGATACCAGCGGCATCGTCATTTGCCGCTTCATGAGCGCATTGAGACCTCCGAGACTTCGTCGCCACTTGCATTGAGTCTATCTCTGATGTCACAACTTCCGAGATGTAAGATTCAAGTTGGTCCTGTTCTGTAGAATCAACCCTTCTTCCCAACCACTGGCCTTTGTCTTCTCTATCCCCATCATTCCCTAATTTTGAAACCATGGCCCACAAAACGTTCGGTTCGCAGCAAGTGTTTCTTAGAGATCTTAGAGCGAGACAACACCAGATCAGGAGGCCCATAATGAAGAGGAAGATCGAGACCATACTGTGGTACCTGTGGGAATCCTCTGGATCCATGGGAAGGCCATGGCTTGAAGCCCCGAGAATGACATGTAGGGGGAACATGTCCCAACATGGCGCCAAAGCCTATGTTCGCCCATGCCCAAACAACACATCCAATATCATATCATGTATGTATACTTGTCACCTGAGGATGAACGAAAACACGAGCTATACGCAGCGATTTGAAAAATTTAGGTGTCAGGATTTAGGGTTTCAGGATGTTTCAGGGTTGCGAGATCTGAGGCCATCAGGGGCACATGAAGGTTTGCACCCAAAGTCCCGACTCCCAAGGGTTCAGCACGGCAAAAAAGACCTGGCAGAAGGGCAGCTTCGGCAGGTTGACATGTGCAGATCTGTGTAACGTGGTAAACTCAACCATTTCTACCAACTGGTTAATCATCTCCCCCATTGTAGTGCTTGTCATTCCTTTTTTTTGGCAATGGTTTTTCAGATATCGTTGCATGCTCTTGGTACCTTCAAGTTCTTGTATCCTGATACCAACTTGGCGAGAAATTGTGATTATTACGGCCCTTAGAGTACCTGATAGCACATGCAAGTACATCTATACAAAAACACACACTATGCACATATATGTCCACATAAACCTATATAAATACAATCATAGTGTGTATATGTATATATATATTATATTATATTATATTATAGTCTGTTTATAGTATGTATATGTTACCAAGAGTGCGGTTGTGAACGATGGCATCTCCACCGTTTCATCCCAGCAATCTCCACCTGCTGAGGCACACCCAACAACATGGAGATCAGAATGGCCTCAATGGCCATCGTTTCTACTGAACGGCTTGGGAGGGAAGCGGTTTACGGAAACTCTTCAAGATGATTCAAGTTCTCCCAGGAGCTCACATCACATTGGTACAAGTTGTTATGTGGATGATGAACTTCCGCCCGAACCTGCCTGCGATGAGTGGAAGCGCACATAGAAAGGTGCAGCCTTGTTTCTCACGGCAGTCTGGATGAAGATAAACCAAACAATCAGGAAGTAGTACCCAGACCTGGCGGCCATCCCATCAGATTCCGTTGCAAGGCACTCAAAGTGTACAAAGTGGATCATGATCTTTGCTGCACATGCGAAACATTCCCAAACACTTTGTGTATGTATAAGATTGTATAAGTACATATATAACTATATAACGCTATGTGATATACACATACGTAGGAAATTTTTCAGAGGGGCAGCATGCTAATCACAGGCCACGTCACTTCAGGTATGCGTTGTACAAGTATCGCCTTAGACACGTAGGAACGCCACCGCGCCACCGTTCCTCCCTAGAGGTGACTGCGAGAGTCTCTACCAGTGTGTCTTGGCAACCGGTTAGCGCTACATCCAAATCACAAGAACATCAAAGTAACTCTATATATATATATATATATGTATTGTACATATATATATTGTATATTTTTTGTATGTATGTATATAAAATTATATAAATATATCATATTGCTGCTTGCAGAGTTTTCCAAGCCTTATATTTCTACAGAATCCAGTCCACACTGTCCACACTTTAAGCTCAGCACATCTTCAGCGTGTGCTGCATGAAATTGACTAAGGGCTCTGTTGGAGGAACTCCCACCGCATACCTTATGGGTCGGCCCAGGATCCGGAGCCATCAGCTGGTCTGCTTGGTGATCTGCTTGGTGCCCAACGGGTACAAAGAAATGGAGATCTCACCAAAGTCTAGAGCCTCAGCTGCCGGGTGAGGGACTGGAAAAAAAAACACACGTTCTTTGATGGGTGGAGCCAGTGCAAAGAGTTCCTTGGAACCCTCCGGTTATTTGGGTGTTTTATTTGGGATGAAAGCTGCATAATGTCTAGGCATGTGCTTGAACCATCACAGCGCGCGCTGAATTAAGCCCTAGAGTTCAAGAATCAATCAATCAAACATGCAGGAGAAAACAGAGTCTTGAGTCAACTTGAAGCTCGCATCAAAACTGATTCCAGTCTGAGTCAAACACGTTCAAGAATGGCAGCAAGTACCTGCTCAATGTCAAGAATCACTGACAAGGGATGATTTAGTTCAGTGATTGATGTTCATTGGGCTGAGGATGCAGTTCCCTCAAATGGACAGAGTTGATTTATGTTGATTTTGGTTGAGATTGTGGGCCCAATGTAAGCCACAAGAACTGGTATTGCGTCAATGTCGCCACAAGTACATCCAGTTTTGACCCAAAACTGCAGCTGGAGCTGGCAAAAGCTCTGGCTATTCGGCTATTCTTTGCCCCGCGGCGCACCCAACGCACGCACCCACTCGCAAGAGCCACATCTTGTCCAGAACACCTTCAGTTGCAGCGTTCGGAGACATTTATTGGGAGCTTGAGTTGAGATAGTTGAGGAAAGGCTTCAAGTGATTCTCAATATTCTCAAATGGTGAACAAAAATGAAAAAATAACACGACAAGAAACGGGAGCTATGTGCTGCGTATGCCACGTGAGCTTTGAAGTTGTTTTTGAGCAGTGTTCGATCCTGTTTTTAAGCATCTTCATCTTCGTGAAAGCCTCCACAAGAGAGTCTTCAACTCTTTTCACTACCACTAGTGGCACTAGTGGTTTCAATATGTTTAAATCCATCCCATATACTGATACTAGTCAATGGCGATCATCATCGGTACGAGTAGCGAAAACGAAACGTGTTTCAAACCACCAACCAGTTTTCGCCTCCGAGGATTCTCATTGGCAAAGGCGTGAGGCGCTTCCTCTCAATTTCTGTCGCTTGGAACGTGTCTGGGGCATCTACCCCGCCTGAGTCCTGTGATTTGTCTTGAAATGCTCAGTAGCCAGCTATGGGAACTTTAGAGGAGTACAAATCAAATCAAGATTAAACTAAATCAAATGAATTCATGATTAAAGTATATTAAAGTTTAAAGATGTTTAAAGACTATTCAAGACATCCTCATAAAGTTACCATAGTCAAAGGCTTCGAGGCCAACATTGCACGGCGGGACTGTCATGTCTGCCGACGCCTCATCCGGTCTTTCTTCTTCTCCAAGGGTGTGGCATCCACTGGAGTGGACATGAGGAAGAGAGCATCCTGGCCGATGCAGCTTCCTGGTTTCATCATCGATCATTCCAGGTAGGATGGAAGCAAACTAAAGCGTACATTTCTCTGGGGGAATATGATGGTTCACTATGGTTCACTAGTGGATTTGAGGTATCCCATGCTGTTTGAAACCACCAACCAGGCTATATGATGCTATATGGCTGGATCCTGCCTCTCCCATCTGCTGCATCTCCTTCATTTCCTGCTGCTGTTCCCACTCCTTCATGGATCTGATGAACTCCTACCCGGAAATCAAGGGCGAAGATGGGCGAATTCCACACAAATATCCATGCAATTCTTGGTACCGCTGGAAGCAAGTCTCCAAACAGCAAAAGGTGTTCTCTGCCTTCAGTGCAAAAACCACAAACACACTGGAGATCAGGGCAATGATTCCAGACCTGGGAAATCAGGTCGTAGAGTCGTAGAATGTCGTAGATGTCTGAGCAGGTCGTAGAATCGGATGCCAGAAACAGCAAGGCAGTAAGGTTCCAACTGTATCCATGGCCGAATGGAGTTCTTGTAGGTGTGGGCCACTGCCATGTCCTCGCAGCAACATCGCTGTGCACTCCTGAAAGATTGAAAGCTTCGAGTACATTGGCGTCAGAACTTGAGCCAAGCAGTGATAGCAGTGATAGCTGAGAACATCTGAGAATATCTGAGACGGTTGTCTTTACCTTTCCACCCTGTCTATCCTAGGATGCAAGAGATGCAGACCTGAAACAAGTCGTCACGAAGGGCGAAACCGTCGGTAGCCGAGACCTTGGACGCTACTCCGTGCGCAGGTGGCTTCGTACCCTTGAAGAGGTTCCACAAAGTCTTGATGATGGTTTCCATGTACCATTTTTGTACATATCATATTCAGTCATATTCCAACTTCAAGACTATGACTTGCACTAGTGACACGGTCTGGTGAACTCTGCAAGACAAAAAAGGCAACGTCATGTCCAACAAAAGTGCATCTATATACAGGATGCACTCTCAACGTTGTCTTGGGTTCCTCCGTGCTGCTTTCAAGCCGCCCAAATTCATCAAGGACAGCCAAGTTTATGTATTGATGTATAGATATATACTGTTCCATTTGGAGTGTCAAACAGTAGCGTCAGCGGTGTCAGCCCAAGATATGCCAATCATAGCCATGATCTAAGTGTTGAGCCCACGCATGTGCCTGGCATTCACCGGATCTGTATGAACTGAGTGGAAGCTGCTCGACCAATGTGGGATCCAGAAATCCGGTGATCAGCCAGGGTCACCGCCGCTCGGACTGTCCAGTAGATGGCTGCGCCAAATGCCACCTCTGCAAATGGCGACCTTGGCTCTGCCAGACTCCGGCTGTCGTTCCCAAAAGAACCCTGGAAGAAGATGAACCCATTGAATATGCCATTGAATATGCCATTGAATATGCAAGTTTCCCACGAGCAAAGGAAAACAAGCTCCGTACTGTGCTCGCTGCACCGGCTGCCGCATACGGTGGCTGAAGATGCGGCCCAGCCCCAGAGCCTTAATTCGTTTGAGTTTTTTTTCCACATCTCAGCTTCAAAGTGATACTACGAGCATCAAATATCCCCCGTTGGTAGTTTGACATCTTGAACATGTTTTACATGTTCTAGCCAGCCAAATATGTTCAACTGTTCAACAGTCAAGGATTTGGATGTTTTAGGGCATTTTAGGGGGGTCCTACGTGCTTTGACCGAGTTTGTGGCAGAGGCCGCAGCAGCAAGCCCGCCTGTAGGGTGTACTGGCTTGGTGAAGTTTGACATCCCAAGATCTGAGAGGTACACGAGTTTATCATAGTCTATTCTTGACAAATAGGTGACAATGATCACAGACTGATTTCTTGACTAATGACTGTATTTGTCCTATTTTAATCATGTTTAATCTGCCTTTGTGAGAGGTTTGGCAGACTTTAGCCGCCTGCGGCATGTGCTGGCATAGCAGCTGAAGCCTCATGAGCCTCATAATGCGAGCAAAAAGCCGACAATTTCGAGAGATGCTCTCCGCACGCTTCAAATACTGGTTCAACCAACAAAAATGGTGGTTTAATGGGGATATAAACTTAAATTCAATCACTACGTAATACTGTAAAACCCTTGATGTGCGCTTGCTTGGTAAAGGATACTCTGTGGCCAAGTAGATCAAGATGTGACAACATCGGCCCCTGAAGGTTGAGGCATCGCTCCTTGGTCCCAGGCCTCCTCCTGGTGTGCTGTTCTGGCCCTGGCGCTGGGAGTTCTTTGGAAACTGGGAGACTATGGCAGACTATTACAGACTATGGCAGACCCCCGGGTCCCTCAACTTCAAGCAGGCCGGGTCCGACGATCTAAAGCTACGCGCTGGAGAGCTCACGAAAGGCCTCCAAACTCTCAAAGGGTGCACTGTCATGAAGAACCCTTTCAGTGGGCTTGAAGTAACCACTCTGACCATCAACATGGCTCTGGAAGTGGAAAGCAGAAACAGAAATTGAAGCCGGGCATCATGGGCATCATGGGCATACAATCACATTGTGCATTCTATATACAAAATTATGACAACGAATAGACAAGTTTATACTGTTAAGACATGTTGCAAATATACATTCTGTTGGATAAGTACTACCCTCTGGTAAACTAACAATATAACTATGGGAAAGCACCATTTTTTGGTGGGTAAATCAACTATAAATAGCCATTTTCAATAGCAAACTGCTAGTTTACCAGAGGGTAAGTACTACACATGTCCAATCCATTCTTGGCATGACCAGGAAATCCCGTGCCTGGGCCTTTCCCGCACGGATCGCTGCAGATCCTCCTGGCATCAGGCTGAACCAACAGTAGGTTTCGGAAAACCCATGGGAAAACCCACCATTCCATCATTCCATCCACTGGTTGATCATCATTTTACCATATTTTACCATGTTTTACCATAGTGTACCTATGAAAAAAGCACCATTTAAGGTGAGATAAGGTGAGTGTCCTCGATTTTCAGACACAGATGGAGCTTTCAAGTCTGGATTGCACTATCCAAGCATATTTTTACCGAGCCCCGGGCAGATTGACTTGGCGATAGGGCAAAACTCCATCTGCCTCGCGCAGAAGAGCATAACATTCCCATTGAAATTATTACAGAGTAACTCCATGATAATTGGCCATTATATTGACCATCTTTAATTACCACAATATTATTGACCAGTGATAATGCCATGGTCAATATAATGTCACTAATGTCACAATCACAATCATAATTCCCATAGACAGTGGTGATCTAACAGCTTGTACAAACCTACATGATCATGATATTCTTATATTGTGAATAGCTACCGTGATTGTCATACTCCCTGGTAATCTAAGATAGCTACAGAAAATAACCGATTTATACGTATGATTTACCTATAAAAAAATGTGTTTTCCATAGCTACATGAAATCACCAAAGGGTAATCCCATTAAATTCCATTGAATTCCATAAAATTCACTATTAAATCCCATGAATTCCCATTCAATCACCATTGAATCACCGCATGGGAAACCTGCACCAGGTGCCAAGAGCGCCCCTGCGGCAAGCAGAGCCCATCTCCTTAGCGATGGAGCTTTTAAGGGGTTTCTTCGTTCCGATTTGTTGGTCTCATTTTTAGGGGACAGGATTGTGCAGCAATTACTGGGATGGGATGAGTGTGTAGAGATGAGTAGAGCATAGAGCAAAGATGAGCAAAGTGCATCTGAGTCTTTGCACCCGACCGAACCCGGAAATGCTGGTCGCTACAAGGTTTCCAAGAGTGTTCAGCATTTGCACACCATTGGTGACTAAACAAAGCTGCACTATGATATGTCAGAACTTGAGCGTCACCTAGCAGATCGATTCCAGCATTTTTTCAAGCATCTCGACCTCTTTCTGAACGCTGAAATTGCGCTTTGCAACTGGTTGTCTCTGCTAGTCAGCTGGGCTCAGGCTATCAGCCATCTCAGCCATCTCAGCCATCTCAGCCATCTCAGCCATCTCAGCCAATTTCCAAAGCGTCCAGTCTCTTGATTGATTGTTGGAAAAGCGCTGGATCTCGTTTCCGAGCGAGATTGAGTAGTACCTGAACATAATCTCCCTCAATCTCCCAGCTCTTGCACCCTTGTTTCAAGCTACTAGTATGAAACGTCCCGTTTACACCGCAATGATCTGCAACGTCAATCAAAAAACATCTATTTCATCCTATTTCAATGCATCACATATCAGCCAGGCACCTTCTGCACTTCATTCTTCAGGGCATTTTCGGCTGCGTTGGCCGCAGCTCCGGCGTTGGCTTTGAAGCTCTGCTTCTTCTGCAGCCGGGAGATTTCTTGCGCCTTGGGATGTGCGGCTTGGCGCTGGGGAGTCACGGGAAAGAGATTGTGCAATGGAAAAACATTGGGAAACTGGTAAAAACATGGAAGACAGGAAAGAATTGAATCCAAAATTAGTGAATAATGTGATGTCAATATGATATCAATATGATATCAATTGATATCATATAATATATACATACAAGTAAATGCTTGTTTCCACACGGGGCCTCTGGCTCCTGCTCGATTTGCGGGGTTCTTGTCAATGCCTCAGTCCTGGTGCAAGAGAGGAACTAGTTGGTGTGGAAAGTTTGAATTCGAGTAGATCAATAGCCTTCCAAGTGCTTCTGCGATAGAGAGTAACAGCAGCTGACCACACCACTAGAAGTGCATCAAAGAGCAAGGCTTCAAATAGATTTAGCACACATGTTGATGCTCAAACCAATGCAACCATGACTTTAATCGCTTTGACGTTCAAACCAATGGAATTGTGCCGGGTGCTTGATTGTGGTTCACAGTGGCTGCATCTTCGCAATTGATGCTGATATATCTGATACTTTTTCAGCATCTGCAGAAGCATCTCCTGGGGAATGGAATGTCTTGTTCCGGCCCCGCTGCTGGCGCAGCTGCTTCTGGCAGTGCTTCACCCGGCGGTGCCAGCGGTTTGGATACAGCCTGCTCTGCTTCTGCCAGCTGCTGAGCTGCTTGGTTCAAGGCCTTGGCTGAGGAGACGTCTTACACCTCGCTGTTTTGGATGGAAGCTTGGCCTACTTTGTTGAGGAAATCCGGGGGTGAGTGGATTAATTTACCTGATGTAGCCTAGTTCAATGATGCACGCAGGGCCTATATTTGGGCTTAAAAAGTGGATCAAACGTCAGTGTAAGTCAAATTGGGTACCTCGAAGAATGGATGATGCCTGCGAAAAATAAGCAAAATCTGCAGTCCCCTGACCCGTGAAAAACTGCACAGAGTGGTTCTACCTTCATTGCGACTTTCTGAAATTCAGTTGGCCTATTTCCCAACAGTCCTATCAGTCCTAACATCAACCCTCAAGTCAAGGTCTGAGTGTAAAAGATTTGGGTGCGGGTCACAGCTGGTTACCGTTAGCACCCAACAAAAATGACAGAATATAGTCTGAACAGATAGATAATTACACATATAATTATAATTATGTATGATTATATACATTATCACTATTATATATATATATATAATATATTTATAGATATTCTCAGATGATGTCTCGATATCCACCCATTTTTGGTGCCCAAGGTTCATGCAAGGAGTCTGACTCCGCCTCTTCCCCCGCCTGGACACTCGAGTTTGGATGATTCATCACCCAGTATTGTCATTTCAAAAAACATCTCAAAAAACACCAGGCAAAGAATGGAGTGTATGTGTGTATATTATATATATTATATATATATAATATTATATATATATATATGAAAATCCACCATTTATATCCATTTATGTGTGTTTTTCATTAATGGGGAGAAGGATGTTTTGAAAATCATGGAATACTTTCAGAGTAAAATAGCAAATCATCAAATTTCAATGCCCGGAAACTTGGGGTGGTGCCCCAGTTTCCCGACAAACCCACCATCCCACCATTCCGCCTGTGGCGAAGCTGGAGCTTCAGCTGGTTCCTGCATCATAGAAAATCCACACTGTGGATGGGAAAGTATGGGTTTGTCTTAAATTGGGGGATGGTAAATGGTCAAAAATTGAGAAAATTTGGTAAACATGGGTTTGTCTTAAACTGTCTCAATAATATGAGGGTATGGTTTATGGAAAAGATATCAGATACAGTAGTTCATCCATATCTTCAAGCATCCAATTGTCTTAAATTGGGGTGTAAGGATGATAACAAAGTAAACGATCAAGTTTGAAGCTGCCCTATTTTCACACAATCGATATGGATGCCAAAATGATGAATGGATGATCATGGATGATGACAAATGGACTTAGATTAGCAAAAAAAGGTGGGTCCCACATGCACAGAAGGCGTGGTTTGATTGAAGAATTATATGATTAGTGAAATGTAGTCTGGATGATGCCCAAGCAATTACAGCCCTCCTTGCCCCACGAGCCTCTTCTGACCTGATTGGGTCCTCCACTCTCTTGACAGTCTCCCTGTTCTCTGAGTGAGGGAACTCCACACCCGTTTGCGGGGTCAGTCCAGCATCGGGGGAATCCTGGAAAATTGGCACAGCAGCATAGCAAGCTGGAAGACATGCATAGTAATTATTATCAGTAATTAACAACAATGTTTGAAGATGTTTGAAGGGTATCTAATGAATCTAATGATTCTTTCGAACAGTTCCCGTGCGGAATGCTGGATTCCTGGATGATCACTACATGTTCATACATTTTCCCTATTCTGTCCTTGTCCTTTCTGACCAACTCACAGCTAAACAGCCATGGCAGCCATGGTCCTTCACTGAATCTGTGACTGTTTCCAAATCCAGATCCACTGCAGGAGTCTCACCCTCTGGCTCTGTCGAGGTGGTATGGCCCTGCGAACAAATGCATGCGCTCACATTGAGAAACAGTCCAAGGCAAGAAAGCAAGAAAGCAAACAGATAAGCAAACAAACAATCGCAAACAATCAACTAACCAACCAACCAACCAATCAACCAATCAATCAATCAATTAATCAATCAATGAATCAATCTTCAATATCTGTCAAACAATCAGTAAAGCAAGCACACAAGCACACAATCAATGATATAAAATCATTCTGATAAAGCGATGACGCACGGAAAGTAGTCCCAAGCCCAAGGATTTTACCCCCGAAACAAACCATGCACTTATCGATATGCGATGCCCATCTGGCAAAATCGTCTCAGCCCTCCTACCAATACGATTGACATCCTGGGAAATATGGGACTTAATGGTGATCTGATGGGATTTTCTGGGTAGTGGAATATGAAATTACGGGTAATGGCTGTGGGTTTTCCTCTGAAAATGGCGGGATGAAGCCACTGGACTTTAGAGGATCAAAGGCCAGTGGACCTTACTATGACTATTGACTATTGTATTCGCTTCCGCCAACATAAGAGCGCACATGCATTAACCAAACATAACCACTGTAACTAGTTCCAGCATCATTTGTGGAGGTTTCCTAAAATGGTGGGTACCCCAAATCTTCCAGTCATGCATGACCATGACTTAGTACTGAAAGCCATGGTGACTTGGGGGTACCCCCATGGCTTAAGAAACCTCCATGCTTTGAAGATTTTAAAGGAAAAAAAACACTCCTGCGGCTTCACCACTTCTGACACTTCCACGACCATCGGCTCAGACGGCGCCAGCTTCAGAAGCGCTTCCACGGGCGCTGTCTGCGCTTCCGCTGGCAACGAAGGTTGACTGGGGGGCGACCACTCCTCCACGGGGCCATAGGGCCATATTCCAAAATGCTGGACCAGCCCACAATATGAGACAGTTCAGTGCCTATCATCAGTAGGGAAAAGTCTTGGAAAGCAACAAGTACACAAGTGCACAGAGAAAAGAATGAACCCACTCACCAGCGACTCGTTGACAATACCCTTTCACCAGCTGCCAAGCCACCATGGAAGGATAAGGCCATCCCTGTGCGGGCAGAATCCGGAGCAATCCTAAATCCTGTGTTTCATCAGTTGATGCACTTGAACCGGAGCTTTGCCCTACCTGAAAAGCAGCAATAGCAAGCAGCTGTATGAGGTATAGGGCGGTTCAAATTGTTATTATAGTGCACAAACCATACAAACACAGAGCACAATAACAACCATAAGCATGATGATGCTGATGATGATTCCGGTGGTGATGGTGGTTATGGCATGTTATGGCGATGGTGATGACAAGGTGGACATTGATCCCTCCACCTTCTTGGAACATTGATCCAGAATATCATCCACAGCTGTTGATTTGCTCAGCGCTGCTCCTGGAGGCTTCGGTTTGGCATGGTTTGACCGGATGGCATTGAACGCCAGGTATCTGCAACTATCAATGACTCCTTCTGCACCTGGGTTGAAATTCAACACATCCAGGTAGTCGCTGAAGCCCAACTGCGGAGGCAAAGAACGCGTCTGCAAATCATCTGAACTGCAAAGTTCATCTCCAATTTCACCAAGAGTGTCACCATTGCCAACTGCGTCACTGCTTGGAAAATCAAATCCGTTCAGCTTGGGTTAGATGTGATAGTCTCTGGCTCAATCAACCGATCTCTGGCTAGGCCTTGCATTCATAGTCCATCTGGGCTCCACCAAAATCAAAGGACTGCCACTCCTTGGCTCGCCAAAAAGAACTCTGCCACTGGGATTGCCCAGATCTTTAAAATAATCATAATAATCTTTAGAATTCTTTAGATATCTTTAGGATGATATCTGGGATAGCAATCTGGGATTATTGCTGGAATGAATTGGACTGATGTCTGTTAAATCCTCATCACGTTGGGTCACCTTGGGTCGGTCACACCTTGTGGACATCTGCGGCTGAGCGTCACATCCTGTTCCTTCGCAACAGCACTTGCCCAAGCGCCCGTGGAAGGAGGTCACGGACAGGCGAGCCCACCTGGCTCATATTGTGATGTGGCAGTGTGTCAAAACCCTGGTACCCCTGGTGAACATCAGAGTAGCTGGTAAATGGATGTTCATCCCCCTAAACATGGTATTATATAATAGGTATTGATCCATACCCATGTGCCATGATGTGCCCATAGTTTTAAGCTTTGGCAAAATGGCCATTTGCCAAACATACGAACTTAAGTGCCTCGACATGCCTCGACCATGATGGTCATCCCCCAAAAACGCCCTAGTGGTGCCTCAATGTCACCAAATTGGCCAAAGCACCAAGACCTGCTGTGGCTAAGACATGGAACCCCACTGTGATGTTGAAATGGTAAGAGAAACAAACATTACACACTTACACATAGACACATGTAGAAATCCAAATAAGAGCAGCAAAGAAATTCTCTCATTCATCCTTCACCATTGCGTCGAGATGGTCAGCTTGAGATAATTAAAGCCTGCATAGTTTGTCACAAATGTAGGTTCCGGAGCCAGAGCTGGCGAATTATTGAACATCTTGTGCTTGGTTGCTGTCCTCGGGTAACCTGCCCGTTCTCTGACTTCATCGTCAGGTAACTTGCCAGTCTGAGTCTGAGTGGCCAACCAGTCGTTATGGCCGAGCCCTATCTGCTGTCAAGTAGCTATTCGCTAAAACCTCTCGTGCCTGCAGGTGGCGCAGCTTTGTCTCTCGAAGATGCTCCTGAGGCAAGAAAAGCGATGCTGCCAGTCTGAGTCTGTTGATGAACCTGTCGCAGGTACGAGTACCACGACTTGAAAACCGAAAGGCACTAGCCGCAAGGCACTAGCCAATACCGGCGGCACACAATTCAGGGATGCTTGATGCTTGGACCGCTTGCTTGCAGGCGAATCTTCCCTCAGCCTTCAATCGCAAAGTATACACGGGCCAATGAAACACGTGCTCCTCGATCTGTGCCGCTCGTTGATGAATGAGGTGCGAGGCATTTCGCCGCATCCTGGGAATCACCGTCAAACTGATTGCTTCAGAAGGAGAATCTCCGATTCTGAACTGGCACTTGGTAAACCTGGTAAAGTGAATGATCTTCGCAAACAAACAGATGTCGTGCAGCTAAGACACTCTTTTATCTTATTTCTGAGAGATTGTTCCTGGGACAGAACTATCCGCTGGAGCCGCTGGAATTGTGATCAGAGCTCCGCATGTTTCCATCATTTTCCATCCTATTCATCCATCATTCATCCATCATTCATCCATCATTTTCCATCATTTTCCATCATTTTCCATCATTTTCCATCATTTTCCATCATTTTCCATCATTTTCCATCATTTTCCATCATTTTCCATCCATACTCAGTCTCTACTCATCCTATTCCAAGGCACCATGTTGGTGAGGTCATCACTGGAAAGCAAGCTGTCAGCTGCACCCTTCATGGCTGTTCTGGCGATGCCTCAGATTACCGAAGGAGGACACCCCAACATAGTTATAATACAGTAGCAACCACAATTGGCTCAGAATGTATTAATAGTATAATATAGTATAATATACTGTAGTAATATATAGTATAATTATATTGCTATAACATGTTAGTATAATATAGTAAAATTATATTGTTATAACATCTTGTATAATAATAGTATAACACTATAATAGTATAATATATAGTATAACAATATAATAGTGTAATATAGTATAATTATGTTGTTATAACATCTTGTAACTACAATCTAACGCGCTCAATCTAACGTTAAATTGTGGTCTAATAGTACGCGCACTCTCTAGTGATTTAACATAGCTTTGGAACATGACCGATTTATATGATTTACACATGAAAAAATGGTGTTTGTCCATAGCTACATTAAATAAGCGGAGGGTAACCATCTTCCCCCAAACCAATGTCCAGCCTGTCATGGTCTCCCCTCTCATGGCTTCCATGCCGATGAAGGCCGAACGCGCGGAACTACTAGAGCTGATGGGTTGTGCATGGCCAGTCACGAAGAAGACCTGCAGCAGTTTGGCAAAAAAAGCAAGAAAACCATCCTCAACCTCAGCTGGAAATATAAGGAGCAAATTGTTGAACTGGAATCTGTGGGACAATATTTGGCTCCCCCGAACTGGTCCCTCTTCCTTCAGACCACATTGATTGCTCAAGACCCTTGGATGTCGTGAATTTGACAGCGCCCTGCTTGAAAAACCGTTTGACATGAGTTTCGACGGAGAATGAAAGGTGATGTACGTTGATATTGACAAGAATGACTTAACTATTGACTGGAACGTTTGAAAATTTAGCAGTTGAGAGGTCTTTATTCCCCCATTTGTTTACCAGTGTCGAAACTTTGAAACTTGAAGCTATGATCAGAAGCCAGCAATGCAATTAAATTGAAATCCAATAAAACATCTTACTCCTGAATCCGTCAAGTTCCAGCTGGCAAGAGTCTTTGCTTCAAACAAAGAAAGTGCTTCAAGCCAAAAGACTTAAATCACACAGAGATTGGGTATTGGTCCTTGCAGGTTTCGGGCTTAGGATCTGCAGAACATGTATACAAGGGAGTCTCTTAATCAAGTCCTGCCCACAGATATTTCCAGCCAAAGTACTGCGAGTGCCAAGTGCCAAGGGAACATGTCTTGGGAAGACAACCATCAGATGAACGCGTGCAGTCTTTTGTCGAACCAAAAGAGACCACACTGCAGCGGAACAGGTGACACTCTGTAAGCAATTCTGCCCTTTTTTCAACAATTCTGCTATCCATCACCAGATTCGCACGGATCGCTTCTATCAAAGCTTGACTGCTTGGTCTATGGACATTTCTATCATGCTATCATGCTTGACATCGAAGATGAAGCCCCGTTTCCAATGGTGGCGACAAGATTCTACAGAGTCTCCATTTCTGATATACCGGATGCCATCTAGATATTTAGATTTGGATTCCATATGATTCCATAGGCATATGTACAATATGCATATTATATGCTATACAAATGTGAATTTTCCATGGATGTTTTTTTGTAGGTCAATCCATATCCAGCCCGTCCACTGGCCGAGGCTTCGACATGCGGCTTGATGTCGCCTGGAACGGTTCTTTCAACGAGCTAGGGACAGAAACTGGGGAGGTAACATACGACCCACAAAATGGTCATGCGGTGCCAACAATGACCACGAATTGTATGTTTTTGTTCAATGTCAAAAGTTATGACCCTGACCCACAAGTGGCATCTTTAATATGAATCTGCTTCATGGCCCAGAACATCAATCATGTGGCTGCCAATCATCTCAGGAAGAGCACCTCATTCTTCCTCGATTCCAGTCGGAGAATCTCATGGTTTATGTTTCCAATATTTTTCAACAAACCTGAATCAACTAAATCCACTATGGCATCCACATAAATGGTCAACTCCACTATTTATTTATGGGTGGTTTCTTTATGTTTCTTTGATGATTTCAATGGAGAACATCTCCACGGATTCCACGGATTCCACGGATTCCGTTGTGCCTCAGTGGACTCAGGGGAACGCGCCATGGCACCTGAATCAACGTGCGCCCAACGTGCGCCCTGTGCGTGCCACCTTTGGCGTTTTCCACCTCGCCAAACGAGCCAAAGGAAGCGACACGGACGTTCAAACGGTGGAAAAGAGATGTAAAAATGACAAACTCGGCAAAAAATCTGAAACATTGATGAAGATTGAAGAGAATTGGAATGAACATCTCTTGAATTTCAGGACATGGCAGAGGCTTCATAGACTTCCAGTCAACCATCCAGAAATACATTCAGACTTCAAAGTGGTGTTAAGCTATGGCTGGTCAAGCGGACCTTTCTGCGGCAGAAACAGCCGCACTTCATGCAGCTTGGTCCTTTGGAACCGTTGGACGGTCCTCACTTGAAAGCCATCACACCACTGTCTCAAAAAAGGCTGTAACTGTAATGTGGGTAAAACAATCATAAACCACCCATGACTGGGAATGGTAACCATACCACCTATATACGTATGGTGATCACATGTGATCACTGGGGGATGGTTTATGACATTGTTTTACCCACATTACAACGATATAGAACGTGCCTTCTCAAGATTTTCTATCTGCATGTGGTGTCAACCGGCTTTGCAAGGCTGCACTATGTACACTCTCCAACACGCTGAGGTTGGGGAGCCTCACCGTTGGCAGGGCAAACGGCCCAGAGCCCATCGCTGACATCTTTGAATTTGTGTTCTTAGCATTTCTTAGCTATCTCATGATGCTGTTCAATCATATTCAATGATATTGACTGATATTGATATTGAATGATATTCCATGAGTATTCAATTCAATTCAATGATATTCAATGTACGTACTTTAGTTACGAAGATCTTAGCCAGTGATGGCAGGAGCATCATTAATATGCAAAACCTAAACGAATCACCTCATGCGCTTGGGCAAATGGAGAAAATGAACAACTTGCATGGCTATATCGGAACAAACATTGAAGGAATACAACTTAGCACACTGTGAACAGGACATGAACATGGACATACATAGACCAGGTATTCCTGAATTGAATGAAGGGATACGTCACAGGAAACTCCAAAAGCCAACGTCTCCAACAACAATCCTTAAACCAAGCGTTGAATGCATCAAGTGTCATACTGTAAACCTTGGTGACCAGACTCTCCCAAAGCTAGAGGCACTTAAGTGGCAAAGTCCAGGTGCTGAGGGGTGCTCCCCATCCCGGCGTTGGCAAAAATCTGCCACTGGTGGTTTCGGCACCAACATGAGTCAGTCGTGCTGATCAGCATCCCAAGGCATTGATAAGTGCGATAAAACGGTGATCACATAGTTGAAACATGTTGAAACCACCAAGACCGAAGTGGTAACCTTCCTTTTGGAAGCCACTTCGTCGGTCACGTCCGGTCATCGCACAGCTCAGTGAGGGCTGCCTCCCAGGCAGATTTCGAACCCCCGCAGATTTCCCCCAGGTGGCCACAAAATGTGCCCAGGTGGCCTCAATATCTTCAACCTCACGGCAGTCACATGGGGAAGCCAACGTGGCAAATTATATAAGTATGCATGGCACACAAAGAAGTCTCGGAGAAGTCACAAATTACGTATGAGTCTAATAAGATTAATAGATTACCTCGCTGCTGAATGATATTCAGCAATTTCATGCCGTATTCAGAGCAAGGAGAATGCCGAACGCTGCTCTCCAGGCTCAATATGAGTTTCACATCTTGATCCGAGCTTCTGACAGCTGGTATCAATGCACTCTGAATGCCCACAATCCGACCAAATTCCACCTGGCCACCGCAAGGGATCGCGATCTGTACCACCAGTACCCAGGTGGCACGGCACCCAGCCTCAAGTCCCACGATCTGCTCAGCATTGTCCACTTCAAAACGGACCTGGTGACCCAGCAATCTTAGGCACCCCAACAACCAGTTTGGAAGCCACCATCACAAAGCCATGAATATATATAAAATTGGAAGAAACCGAACAAAGATTGGTGCCTCATGGAGCCTCTCTCTCTCTCCAAATTTGACAGTACTGCGAAAGTGACACTATAGACTATTAGATCTACTGGCAACTTTCAATGATATTCCCATGTCATTTCAAGCAACTTTCAACTGGGGTCACCTACCCTGCTGGGTGGTGCATGGTGTTTTCGTCCTGCGATGGTCAATGTCTCACCTTTGGCCTTGGCGCGGCATGGCATGACCCACGTGTCTCGTGTCTCGTGTCGTGACCTCCAAGGACTCCAAGGCTGGGACGGTGAAGAAGATGACTTGGACTCCCAAACTGCTGCTGTGTCCCACTGCGCCCTGGCATATTAGCAGCGTCCCAGGCATCAACTGCCCCCCCCGTGCTGCGTGCTGCCTGCTCCACGGCCACGATGTAATCTCCCCGAAGATTGAAGGTGATCTCTTGGGCACCTTTGCTACCTGCCATGAACTGCATATCTGCAAGCCAAAAACCCACTGAAACATACGTGCCCTGGTATATAAATCATTCCTGGATGGATGACCATCCTCTCTAGGAAAATGGAAAATCACCAATGTTATCCAATGTTCTGACCATGGCACATATCAAACTCTTTCCCGTCTGAGAGCAGCTTTGGAACAAGAAGCAAGCACAGCATTTTGCCGCTGCAGGGTCCATGAAAATCGACGTTCCGTTCTGAATCGAATCGTAAGCCCAAGGTAATGTCGCTGGAAAAGCATCGAAAAGCCTGGTCAAACGAACATCATTAGAAAATTCTTCAGATTGGTATGGCGGCCACTTGCATTTGCATGATCAAAGATGACCAATTTCAATGTCAAGACTAAGCTCACAGCGCGATGCACGCATCAACAAAGTTGCTCAGTCATTCTGATGATGCTCATTGTTGGAGATACTGTGCCACTGCCTTCGGTCAAGGGAGAAAGGATCTC